CATCATCTAATCAGTCTCAACCATAGATCAAAAACAATCTACGGTTAATTTTTTTCTCCCACAACACACACGGATCACCACTCTCAACCATAGATTAAAAACAATCTACGGTTAGATTTTTTTCCCCACAACACACACGGAAAACCATTCTCAACCATAGATTAAAAAATCAATGGTTAGATTTACATCTCAACCATTTTGATACCCTAATTCCACTTTCACTTTCACGCCTCCTAGTTCTTTCTCTCCTCATCTCCTCTCAGATCTCACTCATTCATTCACGGCGCCTCTTCGTTTGTCGTCTCTCTCATTCATTTTCAATTCTCCCTAATTCATTCACGGCGCCTTTCGTTCGTTGTTGCTGCTCATCGGTGTTGTTGCTGCTCTAATCCTCGCTTATCAGTGTTGTTGCTGCTCTAAACCTCTCTTTTTTTGTCCAGGTATGATATCTCTCTTCCTCGTACTTCTTGCAACTGATTTAATCTGATTTATGAAGTAGAAGAATTAAAGTTGTAGTTATAATTCCCCTTAATGAGTATATAATTGTATAATTGTATAATTCCTTCACTGGTAATCAATCTTACTCTATTTCAGTGTTGTTTGATTCAAAGTTCCTTGCTTTCTGTGTACTTGTTATTGTGATTTCATTTTAACTGAAATTAGTTTTTTTGAGGGAAAATTGATCAATGAATTGCTTTTTCATTGATGTGCTAATTTTTTGTAACAAAAATCATGATAATCTGTGATTTTTTATTTATATCATGTATAGATAGTATCATTCATGGCATTGATTAATTTAATTTCAAAATAGTATGGATTCATAATTTCGCTATGATTTCCTTCTGTTCAATTCTGAGTTAAAATTTTATCTGGTTTTCATTTTATCATGCCAAATATGAAAACCCTTTTGAATATTGGTTTAATTGAGTTAATTTTGTGTTAAAAATTGGAATTGCATGTATATGTTTTTTTGGGCTAGAAATAGTAAATTAGGTTAAGCTTATACTATAATGTAGGTTTTAATAGAAAGGGGTTTTTTCTAATTTGTGAAATTAATTGTTTTTTTCTCACTTAAATCAGGAAAAATGAGAATGAAAAGAAAATCTCTAATTGAGGAAAGGTATTATGGGATCAAAAAGAGGCAGATGAATTTTATAAAGATGGTACAAGAAAGAGCTGTTAAAATGAAAACTTCTTGGGTGCCTTTTTTACCTAATGAGTATATAATTGTATAATTGTAAGTTAGGTTAAGCTTAATGAGTATTTAATTTTCTAGTAGTTAAAAATTAATGGGTTGCTACTGAAATTTGATTATATGAGTTTATTAGCGTTTATAGAAAAATAATATGGGATTAATGACTTTTCACTCTCTATTCTATTTGTTGGTTTCACTATTAAGTGTACATCTCAATGTAATGGGTTTTCGACTCTTAACTAGAGTGTAAAAAGTACCTAAATGTGTTAGCATTGATAGGGACAATTATTTGTTATAAGGCTGAAATGTGTTGTTTTGATCCTGTTTTTTCAGCAATGGATCAAGGGTATGAAAATTATGATGAGGACAGACAAGATTATTTAGAAACTTCAGATTCTCAAAACACTATTCAGAATCAAGATTCTTCTCAGCAACAAGTCACTACCACTAGTGGTAGTAAGCGTGGACGAACATCAGATGTGTGGAGGCATTACACCTTTTTTGATAAGATTGTTGGTCTGGCTCCGATAAGATATGCGCGATGCAATGTTTGCGGTAATGAATATAAAGCACCAGGTAAGGCTGGTACTTCCACTTGTAAAGCTCATACTAAGGCATGCATGGGTAAAAATATACATCATCCTGCAAATCTTGAAAGTGTTGTTGATCCTACGTTTAATCAAACTCGTCATTTACAATTGCTTGCTAGAGCTATAATTTTGCATTCCTATCCTTTAAATATTGTGGAGCATCATGGCCTTAGGGAAGTTTTTACGAATCTGAATCCTAATGTGAAGCATGTGTGTAGAAACACTATGTTGAAATATTGTATTGCTGAGCATGATAAGTTTAAGTCCTTGTTGTTGCAATCTTTTTCTGGAATTGAAGGTAGAGTTAGCTTCACTTGTGACTTGTGGACAGCATGCACTAATCGAGGTTATCTCACTTTAACTGCACATTATGTTGATAAAAATTGGTGTCTAAGGTCTAAAATTCTGAATTTTAGATATTGTGGTCCTCCTCATACTGGTGTTGAGATAGAAAAATTTGTGTTTAAACTTATTGGGGAGTGGAACCTTCAGGGTAAAGCTTTTGCAATTACTGTTGATAATGCTCGATCTATGGATGTTATGGTTAAACTTTTGAAGAAAGATTTAATGTTGACTTCTCCTCTTCCTTGTAATGGTAAATTTTTTCATATTCGATGTTCAGCTCATGTCTTGAACATTATTGTTCAAAGAGGTTTGAAAGAAGTTGATAGTAGTGTTCAAAAATTGCGTGAGGTTTGTAAATATATTGATTCTTCGGACTCTAGACTTACTCAATTTGAGCATGCTCTTTCTGAGGTTAACTGTCTATTTAACGGTAAGTTACGTCTTGATGTTGTGACTCGTTGGAATGCCACCTATACGATGCTCCGAAAAGCTTTAGAAGCAAAGGAAGCCTTGAAAGTGGTTATCGATAAGTATATGGGTTATGAATTCAAACTTTCGGATGATGAATGGGATACCCTTGCAAAAATATGTCATTTCCTAAAGCCATTTTATGAAATCACTATGTTATTTTCTGGTTCTGAATATCCTACCGCAAATTTGTATTTTGCTAGTGTTTTGAAAATTGAGCACACAATAACTAAAGCCCATATAGACCCTAAACTTGCACCCATGGCAAAAGTTATGCTTGAAAAGTTTGAGGGCTATTGGGATGACTATAGTTTGATCCTTTCAATAGCTATTGTTCTTGATCCTCGCTATAAGCTATTTCGATTGACGAATATGTTGAAAGTGCTTTATGTTGAGGAGGCATGTGTTGAAAAGGCGAAGGTGATTAAAGATGCTCTTTTGGAGTTGTATAACTTTTATTCTTCTATGTGTTCCGGTTTTAAGTCAAGTACAATTGTTTCCCCCTCCATCCCTATTGGGGTTGATAAATCAAATAGTCTCTTGGATGATGATGATATATTCAAGGTAATTATTTTCTGTTTATTGTGGTTTACTAAAATAATAATTATATGTCTTAATTTTTATTATTTAATAAAAGCATATTTTTTGCACTTTTCTAGGATGTTGATGTTGATGATAGCCTAAATCGACCATCGATGGAGATTGATAATTATTTGAATACTCCTCGTCAACCATCAATTGAAGGGCAGAATTATGATGTTCTCAAGTATTGGGAATCTCAAATTAATGTGTACCCCATATTAGCTATTATGGCTAGGGATGTTTTGGCCATTCCTATTACATCGGTAGCCTCTGAGTCTTCTTTTAGCATGGGTGGTCGTATTTTAAACAAGTATAGGAGTGCACTTTTGCCTAAGAATGTTGAGGCGTTGGTTACCACACAAAATTGGTTACGTGGTTATGATTGTGATATTGAAGAAGACGTCCTTGAAATTGGTAAAGAGGTGATAGATGAAAGTTTTGCATCTAATTAGAAAGGTATGGATGTTGCTATTTTACTGATGCTTAATTTATATTGTGTTGCTTAATTCAAGCTTTCTTGTTTTTTTTTTTTTTTTGTGAGAAAAGTGTAGCTTCATTTCTTACACTAATGATAAGTATAGGGTGCTGCTACTGCTGACTGCTTCTTCTCCTTACTGTTGTTCTGCTGACTTGCTGTGCTGCTGACTTGCTGTTCTGCTGTTGTTCTTCCATTCTGCTGCTGCTCTTCTTCCATTTTGATGTTCTGCTGCTCTTCTTCCATCGCTGCAGTTCTGCCATTCTGCTGCTGCAGTCTGCAGTGCTGCTGATCTGCCATTCTGCTGTAGACTGTGGTGCTGGTGTTAATCTTGTTATGCTAAAAACTTGTACAATTCTGTTGTTAAAACTTGTTTGTATGGATTGGTTGGTTTGATTTTGTTACTTTGTTGTTAAAAATTGTTTAATTATGTGTATGGATTGGATTAGTTTGTTTTGGTTTTGAAAAGTTGAAACTTGTTGAATTAGAAGTTTTATAACTTGTTAATGCTATTAATCCTATTATGCTACTGGAATACTGCTATGTTGATGAATAAGGCCCAAAAGGCCAAAAAATTGTAGGTTATTGCCCAAAAAACCAAAATTGCAGATTATTCCCCAAAAACCAAATTAAAGTCAATACTCACGGATTAGCTAACGAAGTGCTATTTCTAAGGGAATTTAGTATTAACTAAGTTACTAAGATATATACAATTAATATGATAAGTATATGGTCTCAAGAAAAACTGATAAGTATGGAATATATGCTAAATATATATTCTAAGATTTCTAATACTTAATCCAAATAATTACATAAAAAAGTGCACCAAAAAAAATATTATTATTACATACAAAAAAAGCTTGTAAACGGTTCGATTTATAAGCGGTTTGGTTCATAAACGGTTCGGTTTATAAGCAGTTCGGTTCATAAACGGTTCGGTTTATAAGTAGTTCGGTTTACAATCAGTTCGGTTTTTAAATGGTTCGGTGCAAACGAGTAGCAGTTTGCTAACAGTTCGGTGTAAGCGGTTTTTATGCCAGTTTAAATGGTTTCGGGTTAGAAACGGTTCGGTTCATTTTCGGTTCGGTTTCCTTTTCAGTTCGGTTTAGATTTGGTTCGGTTCTTAATCGGTTTAACGTTTTCTCGGATCGGTTCGGTGTCGGTTTTACTAACATGCGGTTCGGGTTGGTTTTCGGTTTCAAAAAAATCGGTTTTTAATCGGTTCGGTTCTCATTCGGATCGGTTGAAACAGTTCGGTTTCACCGGTTCGGTTCGGTTTTTGACAGTGCTACTAATTATCAATAAAGTAGACAATTAGACATCGGAAAAAATAGTACAAAAAATGAATTGGATCATGAACCAACACAACAGTTTTATTCACTCACCAAAATTATCATATTTACATAAAGAAAATGAAAAACAAAATACCCTTTCACTTTTCTTTTCCGCTGTTTTTTCTTCTTCTGCAGTAATCCTCCAGTCTTCCCTAAGCTGTCACAGTCGCCGCCGTTTACACTCTTTTTTCTTTTTTACAAAAAATATAAAAAAAAAGTCCACTCATTTTCCTCAAATTAATTGACTCCATTTTGTCAGCTATATAAACCTGATCATGCCTTAAACAACACTTCTAACTTCCACTATTTCATCTCTCTCTCTTTCTTTCTTTTTTCCCTCCATTTTTCCATCCTTTAATTTCTCTCTCCTCCCTAACAAATAAAAAAAATATCAAAACTTTAAGCTTCATTTCATCTTTAATATGTCAGAAAAAGACCCTGATTTCTCTTCTCACAAACACCCTTCTTCTTCCCAGGTAAAGATTTAATCTTTATTACGAGTACTCCCTTTGTTCCTTCTTGTCATTCTTACTTACGTAATAGCGAGAATCTATGGTTAAAGTTTTATCTCGATAATAAAAAACAATCCCTTTTAGAATCATTTTACTTATTTCTTTTTCTAAATTTCCCCTGTTTTTAATGTGTTTTTTTTTTTTTTTTTTTCAGGTAATAGAAGAATTGAAAGAATTATGGGGAATGGCGTTTCCAATAACAGCAATGAACTGCTTAGTATACATAAGAGCAGTAGTATCAGTTCTTTTCTTAGGAAGACTAGGAAGTTTAGAGCTTGCAGGTGGGGCCCTTTCAATAGGTTTCACCAACATAACAGGGTACTCTGTTTTAGTGGGCCTTGCTTCCGGGCTTGAGCCCGTATGTTCACAGGCTTTCGGGTCGCAAAACTGGGACCTACTTTCACTCTCTCTCCTCCGAATGATCTTCATCCTCTTCCTTGCAATCATACCCATAAGTTTTCTCTGGATCAATCTCGGCCCAATAATGATCTTTTTGGGCCAAGATAAAGAAGTTACATCAATGGCTGCTATGTACTGTATTTTCTCACTTCCTGATTTACTGACAAATACATTTTTACAGCCTCTAAGGGTTTATCTAAGGTCACAGCGGGTGACGAAGCCTATGATGTGGTGCACTCTGACTGCTGTGATGTTCCACGTGCCGCTGAACTATTGGTTGGTGATGGTTCTAGAGTGGGGGGTGAAAGGGGTGGCTGTTGCTTCGGTGGTGACAAACCTGAACATGGCTGTGATGTTAGCAGGATATGTTTATTTTATGGAGAGAGAAAAAGGGAAAATGATGAAATGGTGGAGTTGGGGGGTAAAAGGGATTGGTGTTGAAGGGATAAAACCATTGATGAAATTAGCAATTCCAAGTTGTCTTGGGATTTGTTTAGAATGGTGGTGGTATGAAATTGTTACTATTCTTTCAGGGTATTTAAGTAATCCTAAAGTTGCTGTTGCTGCTACTGGGATTATGATTCAGACTACTAGTCTTATGTATACTGTTCCTATGGCCTTGGCCGGGTGCGTTTCCGCCAGGGTAAGCTTTGCTTTTTCCCGAAATTACTATTTCTTTATGATTTTTGTCTTTGATTTACTATGATGATTTACGAGTTTTGATTAAGTATATAGTGTTGCACGTATTGTCGTGTTTTTGTGTCATTTCATGTGTCTGGATAAATATAGTTTTGTATGTATTGTCGTGTTCGTGTGTCATTTTATGTGTATGGATAAATATAGTTTTGTACGTATTGTCGTGTTCGTGTGTCATCATTTCATGTGTTTGGGGTGTCAATTTATGTTTTTGGGTGTGGAAAGATATGTAGGTGTAAGGAGGGGGTGTTTTGGGATGTTTGAGGGCATTGTTCACAAAGCAAAGGAACAAAAGGTGTTGTTGGTATAATTTATTATTTGCTAGTATAGATAAGGTTTCGTACATCTAGACCTCCTTATACCCACCTTAAAATAAAATAGAGTTGGATGGACGAATACGAATTAAGTTGGTATAATTGTGTGAATAAGGTTGTTGGTATAACCAATTAAAAAAAAAATTATGGGAAACAAAGAAATTCAATGAATAAATCCATTATGCAAAATAGAAGGTTGTACCTAGGGGAGTGAAGGGTTCAATGAATTCTATTCTTACTATCTTGCCCATATTTCTTTATCAATTGATACAATATGTCAGTCATTAATTATTTTGTTTAATATTGTGTACAAAAATTTTAGATTATGAGAGCTGAATCATATTCTTGATTAAGTTTGGATGAATTGTATTAAGACTTGATCATGTTTCTTGTTTAGTGATATATGATAGTTGGTTAGAACTGAAAATCAATAATAACAGAAGTTTGAAATTTTGTGGATTGTACAAATCAGTTTAATTAACTTAGATACGGGTAATAATGGGGAAATTAAGAAGTAATTAGTGTAGTTGGGTCTAAAGTCACTTGAAGTTGGGACCATTCTATGGTTGGGAAGAATAATTTGTGTATAGGATTAGTTTAGTATTGCATGCATGGTACTGTGCAACTTTTAGGGAACAGTTAACCGCATACTATGGTACTATAAAGCAATTAAGTTTTTTGCTTAGTCATGCTTTTTGTTTGTTGTGCTTATTTGTAATTTTGTATACTTTAGCCTTGTTTAGTCTTATATAGCACCATGTACTAGTATTATAGGAAATTGAGCAAAACCCTACAAATTTTCATGGGGTTATGGTATGGACCAACTTGATATTACAAGAAATGGACATCTCTAGATTGATGGAAATCTCAAGAATGTTGTTCACATGGGGACAAGGAATTCGAGGGATGGAAAGGATATACGGATTCTCTATCCCTCTCTGTATTTAGTATCAATATCTAGCTTTTGTCGTCTGTCAAGGTAGATATAAGGATCATTCACTTCAAATGGTTCATTCTAAGGCAATAACGTGGACATGATGATAGACATATGGGACCTTAGATGAGACTTGTAATACGGTTGAAGATATGGATTAGATTGGAGGGCGATATGGTGTAGAAAAAAAAAAAAAAGGACTTCATCCATCTGAGTTTAGTTGTAACGTAACTTGTTTACCAACGTAATAACCAACTTTAGATAGGAGTATTAGGCATACTATATGTATATTAAAAGTTCCTTGTCTTTTTATCTATTACTTGATCCCATCTAATTTCACATAGGTCACCCATGAAATATAGTGGAACAAAGTAAGTGAAGAAATCTCAACCAAGTACTTTTATAGCCCCATCCACTACTATTTGATGTGGTGACTAAACATCATAACCAACTAAAAACTAAACAAAGTGGTATAGCTAGTACTACACTTTTCTCATGTCACCCCCACAAAAATGTAAGGGCACTGTTATTTAATTTGGTAGTTAATGGACCAATTGCAGTTTATGGGAGGCTTGACGTAATGTTGTTCAATTAAGTATTGTTATAGAGAAGATCGTATCTTCTTAAAGTTTTTTCAAGCTACAATAACCATATCAAATTTCCAACTAATCAGAGATTATCTATATCCATATCCATGCTTGTACCTTTTGTAACTTATAATATCTTTGGATTGATGATACGTGCATAACTGCATATCCAATGTTGGAATGATAGTGTGACATCTACGGGGTACAATTTCCGGGGCACTTTTGTTATTTTTGAGGGGTAACACGTAACACAATAACCACGTAAATTGTGTTATTGGTTACAACTTATACCAATTTACTGAAGTAAAATCCTTGGAAATAATGTTGTTGCAGGTTGGAAATGAGCTAGGAGCAGGAAAACCATACAAAGCAAGACTAGCAGCAATGGTTGCATTAGGATGTGCATTTTTGATTGGGATAATGAATGTAATATGGACAGTCATTTTCAGAGAAAGTTGGGGTAAACTCTTTACACCTGATAATAGTGTTACTGTCCTTGTTGCCTCAGTAATGCCAATAATGGGATTATGTGAGCTAGGCAACTGTCCACAAACTACTGGCTGTGGCATCCTCCGTGGCACGGCACGCCCTGCTGTGGGGGCCCGAATCAACCTGGGGTCCTTTTACTTTGTCGGGACCCCAGTCGCAGTGGGCCTGGCTTTTGGGCTTAAGTTTGGGTTTAGTGGGCTTTGGTATGGGCTGTTGGCTGCACAGGTGGCCTGTGCTGTTTGGGTTCTGCATGCTGTGTTAGGGTCTACTGATTGGGAAGCTGAGGCATTGAAAGCTATGAAGTGTTCTGAACAAGTTGAGATGAGTAGTAATAATAAATCTTGTATTAATCAAGAAGAAAAAGTAGGATTTTTAGATAGTGAGAAAATGGAGGGTAACAAAATTAACAACAATTTGTGATTTTGGACAAAAAAAAAACATTGGCTGTTCTTCTGTGAAGGAAGATCTGATAATGGTACTGCTGTAGGGTTAATCTTAAGTTTTGATGTGGCCCAATCTACAGAGAAGTAGAGTATCTTTATTGCATTGCTTTTGTACTGCCCAAGTTTATGGCCATTGAATTGTCTTGTCTTCTATGTAGATTGATTGGTAATGGTATGCACAGATTTGCCTACCTTGTCTTACTTGGTTTTTGTAAATTTCAAAACAATAAAATCGCGTTATTTTATCTAAACATGTCTTATTTTATTAACGGGTTAACACCTTTATTACATTAAGATAGAATCTAAATATCTCAACGTGTTATAGTCATATCAACTAAGATAGATAAACTCAAATACTATATGGGTGATGAAAATTTTAGGTGGTAGGATGTTTATATGAACGATGTTGCAATCAAGTTTTGAATAGGTTTGGTTTTGAATACAAATATGCTGCCATTGTCTTGAATGAATTTTATGAGTAACATATATTTTAGATGGTAAAGATCCTTTTTGCATTATATCCTAACATGTCTTATTTTATCATGTCACCTACATTAATCACAATCTTGAAAACATCACAAGTCTTATTTTGGCCATCATCATCATCATATGAAGATATGTCAAAATTATGAGATGTGGGACATGATAAGAGGATAGGTTTGATCTCAATTCAACTTTGAGGGGTGTACCTTGTACACATATGTAGTGCAATGTGCATTCCCTTTTCCTAGTGTTATGTACATTATAGCAAGTGGAGGAGAATGACCTTTTAACTCTTTAACATATTTTGCGAAATTTAAGAGTTAAGAACTTAAGAACCTACTTCGCATCATCTTATCTTTATATGTCTTATATTATCATGTCACCTATCCAAAATATAGAATGAAAAATTATAATGAATTTTTCTTCTCACAAAATGAGAAATCACTAATCCAATCTTCATAGGTGAAACTTCAAATATTGATCTAACTTTTTGCATTGAACCAAACAATACGAGTTGTGGTAAAGCACGTTGTGTTGTAAGATGAACAAGAGAAAGGATGTCCAAGAAAGTGGATAATGGATGGGTGGGGTTGAAATGTGCGATTTTAGACTCAAATAATTGTTTGATTGTGACTTCCCAAATATTTTACAAGTAGTGTACAGTGGCCTTTAGCCTTCAAATTTTTATTATTTTGGTTGTAAAATGACAATGCTTTTCAACGTTGCTTTTCACCAGCAACTGATCATTGTCCTTTTATCATCGTTCAAAGCAACGGACTTAAATAATCCGTCTTATTCTCCCATTGATGATTTGTCACTTAAAATAGTACCGTAATTAGGATAGTCTTTTAAACGCAATTAACAATAAAGAACAGAGAGTATAATTTCATATGAAAAAAAAAAAAAGAGGGTAATAAATAAAGATGTGTAGAATTGATGCAAACGACCTGTGCATTCATGCATTGGCTGCATGTCTACATAATGCAGGGGTAATGTTGTTGACCTTATCTGTTTTTGGTAAATGAGTACTCGTATATTGTGTACGAGCATATCACCTGACAAATTCTTAACTATTCAGTATTAATGTACAGTCTGTGAACTGATCCAACTGAACAGCTAGAAGTTTGATCCAATAATCTGCAAGACTGATGAGACTAGAGAGGTGTAGATTATTATGACTACCTTGATCTAAGAGTATTTGACCTACTCGGCGTTTGTTTGGTTGAACAAAGGAAGTAGTTTTCCCTAAAAAAAATGCGTAATGTTGTTTGATAAACTTTTAACTAGAATTTTTACTTATCTAAGAGAACTTAAGTAAATTTTCCGAAGTGTCATATTCTTCGGAAACAACTTGAGGGATTCTAATAGATGGCTTGGTACTTCTAGACGAGAAAACAATTTCACCACCAGTTACGCAATCAACCAGGCCCAATAATCATGTCTAGACCAAAAATTGTAATAGCTGTGTGCGAGCGCGGTATGTGACTGTGTGGGTGGGGGTGTGAGCATCTAGTCCAAATATTCTGTGGATAAATCAGCTATATTTTACGAGTAAAAACTTTTGCAGATGGCAAAAGAACAGGAAAAACACCCATTAACTTGTCACAAAACCATTTACTTTTATGTACCATAGCAAGTAGTGGCATCAATCATACTACAATAGACAGCAAGAGATTGCATCATCATGCATATATACAGAAACATATTCTATCATACCAAATCTATGCACCATATCTTATTTGCCATGCTCACTACTTAGGTGTATGACTTTGCTTTCTTTGATGCTGCAAGGTGGCTTGTTCGTGTGTTCCAAAGGTATGCATTCTCCACCGTCGAAAATTTTCTAGAGTATTTAGAGAAAGAAATAAGCTGTAATTAGCAAGATAATCAGAATATTTAGTACGAAGTATAAAAGTTCCAACATAACACAAAAGCTCATTACTATGGCAAGAAACAACAAAACTTTAGTCTGTACCAATAATCCTGTAGTTCAGTGGGTGTATGGTGAAAAGAACAATTCAAGACTTTTCAACTTTTTTTGTTCAGGAATCTGAAAAAAAACAAGAGAAGGGTAACAATCATAACATGAGTCAATGATATATTGATATTAAAAACTACAGCGAACAAGCAACAGCATTCAGGACTAATTGAAGAGTCATCCTTGTTTCAGGATCTTTAATCACTAAACAATGACAACTTCTTACATGGATTTATAAAAATATGTTAATCGGACTCCTTAATCTACCTCAAGAACCGGTGTTGGACCCTCGACACTAACATGTGTATGAACATTTGACGATCCATTTTGGACCAAAAACATCAAGTTATTTGTTTTTAATAAATATCTAATTATGAAACAAGTAGCCAAGTCCTGGTATCATAGCTATAGGAGGCGGTGACAAGGACTATGACAATATGTCAGTGTACAATATGTAAATATGTCAATTAATGTTGATAAGGGGAGAGGGTCGATATCAGTTAATTAGAATATCAAAATACAGATTGCTAGGCGCAGCTGATTTGTATATATGTCAGCCGCTATCCACCAACAGTGTTACATCATGTCACTAAAAACTTTGGAACCACGAATCATATTTTGAGTTTGAAAATAAGCAACACTTGAAAAGATAACAATAAAGTAAATGAAATGAATAAATAAAAAATGGAAGGCGGAAGAATTAGTACCTCAGACAATATAACAAATCTCTAATCTGTACGGAATACAAGGCAAAGCCATTAGCTCATTAGCTGCATATAATGTTAGTGAAAGTCACAGTCACGGGTACATCGGCGAAAAATGCTTAATGATTCAACCACAATATTAGTCGCACACGTAGGCACAAAGCTATAGACCTTGTCACAATTCCTGATTAATCAAAGAGTACTTTCCACCACAATAAACATTAATTATTGTAACAAAAGAGACTGTTTCTGAAACTAACCTTACATTATACTAGCAATTATTCCATTGTCACGTACCGTGTTTTTTCAATCCATTTACATTATGAATATCAATATGATTGAAGAAGGCAATAATGCATGAAGTGCACATCATTGAGCTATCTATTTCAGTGATTCAGTCAATTCCCTTTCGCTAACTGCATCCACTATCTCTACCTTATCGTACTGTATTATCGACTTTATCGTTCTCTATGTGGTAACCAGCATCCTAAGGTACAGTGCATTAACAACTTGGTACTAGAACTGAGGCTTGAACAAGTAATCATTTACACACAAAAAAAAAAATAGACCCTAACATCAATACCATATCACATAAACTAACAGCGACTTCAACTATCTCATGAAGCCTAGATATTTCATTTTAGATTACCAGCAAGAATTCTCCGCCATTTGTGCTACCCAATCAATTCAACAAGTACCTGTACTACAAGATAGCGTCTGAATAGACCATCTAAGGCTTGTCACATCCAAATTTCAGATTCATGTGGCTAAAAGTCAATGCACAAGTTACGCATACAAGCCCACAATAGGGTTGATTAAACAATGCCATCATCATCAGCTATGGTCTATTCTACAATACATTCTGCAATATGCATATTCTTTTTCGGGGGGCAGGGGATTACTTATCCGTGAAAACACTACAGATGCAGAAGGTCTACAAAGTTTATCAGTTTTGGCACAGATCCAATATGAGCCACAGGACTAATTATAAATGTTCAATAGACCACTGCTAAGGACAACAAGGGCCATTCTGAAGAAATTAAACTTCTACTGATGCAACCTTGCCTAAGTTGTCTCAAAATAAGTCACTCACTGATTAAGACCAAACCCCATCCTCTCTTGTATGCAAATGTTTATTGCAGCAACAAGTCCCATATACTAAGTTGTGCTTTCTGCATATAATCTTTTGGAGATAAAGATTGTTAGATGTGTAACCTAAGCAGCTACATCCAACACATAAACACCCATCAGATTAAGTTTGAAAAGATTCACTGCAGACACCGGACCTTATAAAAGCCTCTTATTACAAGATGCCTAGTACTCATTTGTGGAGGTCAATATGATTAGCAATATGTCATATCAATTTCATTTATATGATACATTGGCACATTCTAATGGTGGGCTGAAGATGCAGATATTCAGAGCATACTAGCAACAAGAGGTTGAGATAGAAACCTGGCACAAATTTGACTCATCTTCCCATAATCAGTAATCACGGCGATAATGCAGCACAACTTGAGTTCTGTCAGATGGAATGGCTGCAATTTGTCACAATTGACAATGAAGTTAGATTCTCCAATATCTTTCTCGAACAGACCAATAATATTAATCTTGTCTTAGATATCTGTCAAACAATAGTAATTATAATTATACAAAGATCATGAACTTAATTTGTCAATAATGGATCAGTAAAAGCAAGGAAACAGACTTGAACTTTGAAGGGACAAAGAGCATGAACAAGTGTTCAGGTTCCCAAGTCAGCTCATCTAATTTGCACACACATTTAATTGCTTCCATTATGCAAAACCCAATGTGTCTGAGTCTCACTAAATATGGCAAATTCTGACTAGATGCACGCCAACTGACCCACCAATAAATTTACTTGAATTGGCTCCATGCCATGAAATCCCATTATCTATAGTATGACATCAGTGAGGAGCTAAAAGTCCATACCATGAGTAGTTGAGTACCTATAAAATAGAGACCATATGCAGGTAACAAAGAACCACAGTAATAACACCTGGGATGCCTGCACACATTACAATTTATGGAGACACTCAATAACAGTAATGGACTTAGCAGAAAGCTTCTCCCAATAATAATGAAAGGAATTTATCTGTGAACAGCATGGTCTGGGCAATTAGAAAGAGCAGCACTACAATGCAAAAGGTGACATTCTAGAGCACTTAATGGCTTGACAACTTCATCACCCATCAGCAAATATAATTAACCATGTTATCACCACTTTAATAGCAATCTATACTATTTGGAGAAAATGAATGATAACATAAATCAGCAATATGATGGATTGATGGTGTATCATAGACCAAATATGTTTTAAGTCCAGCTAAACTAAATAGTAAATACCATTCTATAGGATCTCTGACAGTAATCTTGAGAGATCAATACCCTCCATAACGCAACAGAAATTTAGGATAGTTTTTCATAGTGAGCAAGCCTGTTCATACACTTGTGATTTCAGTGCGTATAGATTAAAATAACATCAACACCGCAATGTAAACAATAATAAACATTTCAAGGATATAAATTTTGAAGGTGGAATGATATGGAACAACCAAGTCACAAAACTGGCTGGTTAATAACCAAAAAAGAAATAAAATACCATTATTCAAGCCTTCCATATTAGACACTGAATCATATACAAAGCTATGTGTGATACAGTGACAGAAAGACTGCTCTCTTGATGATCTTGATATTGGACTTGCTATCAGCTTAACGCATTCTTAATGACTAAGGAGTATGACCTATTTTGCAGGTTCTGGTGGGTTATTTTAGGCCAACCTTTCACGAGAAGAATTTCTCCCAGGCCTCCCCCCACCAGATCCTCTTCTTCCATTACTACGCCCACCCCTTGAGCTCTCACCTCGCTCCTTATTATAGCTGCCACCACTACCACTTTCACCCCGTGAGGCATTACTCCATGGCCTCCCCCCACTAGACCCTCTTCTAACATTACTGCGCCCACCCCTTGAGCTCTCAACTCGCTCCTCATTATATCCACCACCATTACCACTTTCACCCCGTGAAGCTTTACTCCATGGCCTCCCCTCACCAAATCCTCTTTTTCCATTACTGCGCCCACCCCTTGAGCTCTCAGCTCACTCCTCATAACCACCACCACCACCACTTTCATTCCGTGAAGCACTATTCCATGGCCTCTTCCCACCCTCTCCGGGTTTTCTCCTGCCCTCATTTACCACGCCAGATCCTCTTCTACCATTATAGTGCCCACCCCTTGAGCTCTCAACTTGCTCCTCCTCATCATCACCACCACTTTCATTGTGGGAAGCTTTTTTCCAAGGCTTCCCCCTACCTTCTTCAGAATCTCTCCTGCCCTCATTTGCCCTACCAGATCCTCTTCTTCCATTACTGCGCCCACCCCTTGAGCTCCTAACTTGATTTTCCTCTCTAGCATCACCACTTTCATCCCACGAAACATTTCTCCAACGCCTCCCCCTACCCTCTCCAGGTTTTCCCTTGCCTTCATTTACCTTACCAGATCCTCGCCTTCCATTATTGCGCCCATCCCCTGCGCTCTCAATTTGCTTCTCATCATCATCACTATCACTTTCCTCCTCCAAAGCATTTCTCCCAGGCTTCCCCCTACCCTCTCCAGGTTTTCTCCTGCCCTCATTAACCTTATCCCTTGAGCTTTCAACTTGCTCCTCCACATGCCTTTCTTTGTCCTCCTCATCACAACTGCTTTCATCCACATCAGAACCAAATAACTGCATATCCTCCTCAGTCTCTTTCTCATTCTCTTCTTCCCCTTCCTTCACTGCTTGTTGCTTACCAGCATTAGGACTAGCCACACTCTTTGACTTCTTCCCTTCCTTCACCTTGTGCATCAGGTGTATATATTTATTTCTCATATCTATCAATGGATGCTTGTCAATCAACAAACCTCTCTTAAACCCGTCCCTTAAAACCACAGTATGAGTCCCAATTTTACTTGAACGGTAAAATATGCCAGGATGATGAGCCAATGCACGCTTAAGCCTTGGCTTTATACCTAAAAACTCTCCAAGACGAAGCATGTTATCCCTCTCTGTCTTCTTGGTAACAAGAATATGGAACAATTCGTGCAAAACCGCAACCACCCACTTATCAGACATATCAGTATTAGGCTGAAGATGAGTTGCATTCTCATAAGGTGATACGTAAGGCAACTTTTGCCAGTCATCCAACCACCTCTTCAGACTCTTATCCATCTCAAGCCCATTAGAAAACTGCAAAGGGAAAGCAATTGGCATCCCTTTTTCATATTTAGGATCCCCCTTCTTTGCCATCTTTTCGATAGCCGAAACCGCCAATTCATCACTCCAACACACCAATTCTAGCAAACCCTCAACCCTATTAGGCCGGGTCTGATTCTGATTAACCCTTTTCACTTTAAAATAATCAGGGAACTCAGGAACTAATGTATCAACATAATTATCAGGAAGACCTAAATCCCATTTAAACCTATCAATCAATTTCAAAGGAAATTCATTAATTCTACACAACATCAAAAGTTTCAACAACCTATCAGCAGCATCTTTCCTAAATGTATCACTATCATACATCAACTGTTCTTCAGCATCAAGATTCAAACTTTCTGGGGTTAATCTAACATGTGGGTGGACCCCAATATTAGCAGGAAAATATTCTTCAAAAAAATTAGGGTACTTACGAATAAAATCAATTGTTCGACATGGGATACTGAGCTTCTCTGTATGGTCAACAATGGAGGACAGAGGAAGAGACTTAGAAGGCTCTGATTTAAGCAAGTTCTTGAGATTAACCACATATTTAAGGTCTTTTTCTTTCTCAACAGCATGGTCTAACCCACGATCTGGAACAAAATTTATCTCAATGTTATCAAGAAAAGTTCTGATACATTGAAAATTGGAGGGATTTGGGTGGTGAGATATAATTATAAAGCGTTGAACTTTGGATTTTATTAGCATTTTTGTGGTTAAATTTGCAGAGTTTTCTGGGTATGGGGGAAATGAAGAATAGGAAATGGTAGTTTGGGGTTTAAGGAGGGTTTTGCCAGTTTGGCTGCTTGATTGTTTGGATGAGTAGATGAGGATTGAGGAGTTTCAGGGTTTGGGGGCTGAATTTTTTGGACCAAACACACACACACAATACACACCTCAAATAAGTTAGGTCACACTATTACACTTTTACACCCTTTTTTTTTAAAAAAAAAAAGGTAAAATACATTGAAAAATTACGATTTTTTTATTTTTTTTTATTTTTTTTAAAGGAAAACAGAGCAATTCATTAATTAATATCAAGTTCCGCCAAAGTTAATATGCTTTGGGGAAAAGAACTCATACAAACTCTCTCTGAATACTCACTCGTATCTCATCTTGCTATAGAATGGGCTACTGTGTTACAAGCTCTGTTAACATAAGAAAACCTACAAGCATTAAATAACTTTGCTAAGGTACAAACTTCATCATAGACAATCCATATTGGAGACCAACCACACGCACTACTATTCAAGGTGTTTATTACTGTTAAGGCATCCCCTCCGATCCAAACTCGATCATATCCCAGCCTCCTAGCAACCTGGCATCCAAACTTCACCGCGGTCACCTCTGCAAGCTCAACATCCCAGCCTTTCGATATTCTCCTTAATGCTGCCTATATAATGTGGCCATTCTCATCCCTGGCAACATCACCCACACCACCCCCCCATATTAAAAACAATGTGAGCATCCACGTTGATCTTCACAGTACCTGCAGGGGGCTTGCACCAGTCTGCATTATGGGTCTGCGTTGTATGTGGGTTAGTATTGAACACTCTGGCTGCATACTTCTTATAATCACGAGTCATCTTTGCAAAAGAACAAGTTGTAGCACACGTATCAACCTGAGCCCCATCAAAGTTGCGTTTGTTGCGGCAAAACCAAACAGACCAAGCAATTGTCAATATCATACACAAATCATCACCACCCACCTTGCTTGCAAACCACAACACTCTCCCAGCAAAGGTCATGTGACTTGGAGTATCGAAAATTAATTGCGCATAATTGCTAGACTCCCAGACATGCTTTACACCCACACAATCAAATAGGACATGTGAAATTGATTCTACATCAGAGTTACAAGCACCACATACCTCATTACTTGCAATGTGTCGTCTAAAGATTTCTTGCTTCACACCAAGACTACCTTTGCTAACCCTCTAAGCAAAGTGGCAGAGCTTGGGAGGACCTTTCAATCTCCAAACTAATTTCCACACTTTCCTCTCATCCTCATGCTGACCATTGCTGCCCATATGATCCCATCCCATCTTCCCAAGCCAATAAGCTAACCTCGCAGTGAAATCGCCATTCTTTGATAGCCACCAGTAGCGCACATCTGAAGTGTGAGCAGTAGCTAGAGGGATTTGACAAATTAAAGAGCATATCTCATCATCAAAATAATGGCTTAGAGCTTCAGTGTTCCAAGCATTACACGAGCTGTCAATCAGTGAAGCAACCCGGAGCTCCGAATCAAACTATATTGTGTGAGTTGGAGTTGCTGTATTCGGTGCCCCTAGTAACCACGAATCAGTCCAGACTAGAACCCACTCTCCGTTTAAGGCCTTCAAGCAGCAATGCTTTAGACCCCCACAAGCTCGCCAGGTGTAGCTTGGGTCATGCCCCCTAAAAGCTTCCAGAACCGAGCTATTTTTAAAGTATCTCGCTTTAAAAATAGCATGTACAAGAGAGTTGGGGTTGGTATACAGACGCCAAATTTGCTTTGCCAGTAAAGCTTGATTGAACACTTTAAGGTCCCGAAAGCCTAGACCATCCATAGACTTTGGTTTGTAGAGAGCATCCCAACTATGCAGTGCATCTTTCTATTCGTGCCATGCGACCCCCACCAAAGTTGAGCCAAGAGCGAATGAATCTCATCAATTAAGCTTTCCGGAATTCTAAAAATGCTCATCATATAGGTCGGTATAGCTTGGGCAACGGCTTAATCAAACTTTCCTTGCCAGGTCTCGACAATAATTTTTCACACCAACCTTGAATTCTTTGCCATAATCTCTCCTTAATGCTTGCAAAGATTACCTTTCTTGATTTTCCAATGATTGTTGGTAATCCCAACTATTTCTCATGTTTCTCCACTTCCTTTACCCCCAAAGTATCCACGATCTCTTGTCGACGACTTGCAGCAACCTTTTTACTAAAAACCACATCTGTTTTTATCAAGATTGACACTCTGTCCAGATGCTCTTTCATATTTGCTGATAATGTCAGCTATCACCGAGCGCTCTCTAACAGTGGCCTTGGCAAAAAGAATGCTATCGTCTGCAACAAAAACAAATTAGAAATTCGAGGGGCTCCCCGACATATTTTTGCACCATGTATCAGTTTTGCATTTGTCGCCTTTGTCAATAAAGTCGAGAACGCATCTGCAACAATGAGAAATAAATAAGCAGAGATCGGGCCTCCTTGTCTCAACCCTCTAGTCGGAGTGACTGATCTAGAAATCTGCCCATTTATTTTGAAAGAAAACCTGACACTTGACAGACAATCCAGAATCCTTCTCACCCAACTATCACAAAAACCCATTTATACATCACCCTCTCAAGAAAACCCCTCTCCACCATGTCATACGCCTTACTAATATCAAGCTTCATAGAAATCGTAGCGTCTCTTCCTTCACCCCTTCTCTTCATGGCATGAAATATCTCAAATGCTATTAGAGCATTATCTTGAATTAATCTCTTTGGAATAAAGGCACTCTGGTTCACAGAAATAATGTCATCCAAAAAAGATTTCATTTTGTTTGCAAGCGTTTTTGAGATAATTTTGTAGAGTACATTGCAACAACTAATTGGTCGAAATTCCTTCATGTATTTAGGATCTATACATTTAGGAATTAAAACCACACACGTTTTATTCACCACATTCAAATTTTCAGAACCATTCCACCAAGTCTTCATAAATCGAACAACATCATTACCGACAATATGCCAAAAATTTTGAAAAAAAAAAAAAGCATGCATACCATCGGGCCATGGAGCTTTGTTCGGGTGTATCTAGAATAAGGCATTTTATATTTCTTCTGCTGTCGGCTCAGTATTCAGGGCACTGTTCATCTCATCTGTAACAACCGACTCAATCCCTTCCAGAGCTTGCTCAAACTCACATGCCACAACTTTTTCAAGGTCCTTCTACCGGTCTCACCATACACCACCATCATCGAACAACCCACCAATATGATTCACATGTCTACGATTTCTAGCCTTTCGATGAAAGTACGCTGTCTTCTTGTCACCGTCCCTCATCTCATTCTCCCTCGCCCTTGCATGCTAGTATGATTCTTCCATCATATGTAAATCATCAAGCTGACTCGCCAATGTAGAACACTCCTCCAACATAGCAGCGTACGGTTCCCTCTCTTGAGCCGCTCTTAACTTCTTCTCCGCTTCTTTAATTAATATCCTTTATTAGCTTACCAAAGGTCTGGGCAGCCCAAGAAGCAAGGCTACCCGCACACCTAGTAAGCCGAGTAGCCATATCCTCATTAGGAACACCAGACCACGCCTCCTCTACAACCTTACCGCATTCTTCACTCGAGAACCACAGAGCTTCAAACTTGAACGCTTTGCTTTCCTTACCCCTGATAACTTGCTATTTGATATAATTTTAGGGTGTTTTGAACCTAGTTTACTTGATAAAAATTGCGTTTTGGTTCATTTTTACTCTATTATTATGCAATTTTTGTGTATCCTATGCTTCACGGGTTGTTGGTGTTTTTGTTGAGATTCTAGGTTCAAAATAACGACCAAATGGAGCCCATGGATACAAAGCCGAGGTTAGAAGCAAGAAGATGGTTGAAAGGAGCCAAGGAAAGGAGCAATATAGAAGAAAAGATGAAAAAAGGGCTCAGAAGAGGCTGCACGGCCGTGCCAGACCTTGCACGTCCGTGCAGGAGTGCTCCAGAAACTTAGAACATTCTGCCAAGGCCTGCACGGACGTGCCAAATTAAGCACGTCCGTGCAGATGTAGCTGCACGTCCGTGCCAATATCTGCACGTCCGTGCGGAGCTGCTCGATTCTTAGCAGTACGTTCTGCCTCATTTCTGCCCCCTCTGCACGTCCGTGCCGAATCTGGCACGACCGTGCTTATGCTTGCACGTCCGTGCCGAATCTGGCACGTCCGTGCGGACCTGCAGTCAAGCCCGATTCTTGTTTTCTCCGTCCTTTTTATTAGGGGGTCTTATAAATACCCCCTTTGAGCTCATTTGTAGGGGGGAGACAGTTTTTTTAGAGCTTTCTCTTAGTTTGGTAGTCTTAGAACATTAATTTCTCAATCATTAGTTAGTTCTCAATTATTAGCTTTGAAATATTCAAAATTCAACCATTGTAGAAGACAAGTTCCACCATTGTTGCTCACCTTGAAGCTTCATAGTAACCATTTCTTACTCATCTTTTCTACTTCTCTTTACTTTGTTGTTAATTATTTGCTAGTTCTTGCATGTTTTGGATTATTAATTAGCTTAATCCTTAGTTTGAACTTGTTCATGAATTGCTTGAAATCTTTAATTGCTTTAACCCCCATGGATTGTGAGTAGTCTAAATTCTAGGGTTTGGGCAAAACCCTCAATGTAGTCACTAATTACTTGTTGCATGTGCTAATTTGGTTGTTGTGGGATGTTAATTAGTTGAGCTTAAGTGGTTTAATTGCTTAGTTCTTGTATATGGCCATTGCTAGAACTATTTATCCAAGCTTTCTCAACGAAGGATCGAGAGATGAACTTGAGTTAGCTCCCTTATGCTTGATTGACCCGAAATGCCATGAGAATAGGGATTACCGGTCAAGGGAATGTTTATGTCATCGTGATTATGCTTTAACACTTGTTTTATGCTATGTAACCACGAGAGTAGGTTGTATTCATGATTCAAGTTATCCCTCTAGCTTGAGAGAGTAGTTGGGTGCGTTAGATGACTTCCCCTAATTTATCCCATTAATTTACCTTGATTGTGGCATGCTAATTGTGATTTGTGATGAAATTGAGTGGTATAACCCAAGCCCTAGATTCCTCTAAATATTGTTAACCTCCTCTTAGCTTAGTTGAATTGAATTAGAAGAAGTTACTCAAAACCAACCCAATTTAGAATTCATTTAGCTTATTTAAACGGTAGTACTTGGTGGTTGATTCAACGCCTCTCTTGGGTTCGACCCTTTCTTACCTTACTATTGTTAGTGAGACCAAGATAGGAATTATTATCTTTGGTAGGCTCGACGACGACCTATCAAATTTTGGCGCCGTTGCCGGGGAGGCAAAGTCACATTGAATGTATTATTGTTGAATGAGACTAGATGTGTGTATATGCATAGTAGTTTTCTTACCTTAATTTTTGTTTATGTGTGTTTAACTTGTGATAGTCATTGCTAAAGTTTTTCTTAGCTTTGTTTGACTTTGCATGACACGAAAGAGTAAGCAATCACCGCTTATTCCCGTTGATCCAGAGCTAAATAGGACTTTGAGAAACGTGAGGAGACTCTTGCAAGGCACACCCGAGTTTTCCATTGTATATTCGGATTCCGATCCGGAAGAGGTTTTTGGAACTAATGAAGAAGATAACATGGGAGAGAATCCTCCTCAACCATTGTTAAGAGACTATGACCACCCCAACGCATTCCAACTTCGGAGTGGCATACGTCTTCCCACCACAAATGCAAACAACTTTGAACTTTCACCTCAACTCATCCGTATAATTCAAAGCGATCAATTCGGAGGTAGTCCTCATGAGTGTCCTTTTGCTCATTTGGACAACTTTCTTGAGTTGTGTACAACCATCAAGCAAAACAACATTTCGGAAGAGTTCATCCGTATGCACATGTTTCAATTCTCCCTCCGTGATAAAGCAAGACATTGGTTGAGAACGGTTGAAGAGGGATCATTGAGTACATGGGACGAAGTCACTAGAGCCTTTCTTGGAAAGTATTGTCCTCCGGAAAAGACCGCCGAATTAAGAAGAAAGATCACCAATTTCAATCAAGACATTGATGAAACATTGAGTGAAGCTTGGGAGCGTTTCAAAGATTACACAAGGAAATGCCCCCACCATGGTTTTACATCATGGATCATTGTACAAAGCTTCTATGACGGTCTTACTCCTATTTCAAGGGCCAACCTTGATTCCGGGGCCGGTGGTAGCCTCAAAAAGCTATCGGTGGACGATGCATACAAGATGATTGAAGAAGTGGCCAAGCATTATGCATATGGAGGTGATAGAAGGCAACCTCAAACAAAGAAGGGCGGAATTCATGATCTTAGTGCAATAGATCTTATTGCATCAAAGTTTGATATGGTAGCTCACAAGCTAGATCAAGCCACCCTCACACCCTCAAGCTCTTCCTCGCAAGTCATGTCTTGTGAGACTTGTGGAGGAAATGATCACTTGTCCTCTTATTGCAACTCAACGAATCAAGAGCAAGCGGCGGCAATTGGGCAAAGGAATGAACAATACTCCCAATCCCACAATCAAAGTTGGAAGCCCCAACAAAACACGGGATGGAAGCAATACAACCAAGGCCCCCCACAAAATAACTACAACCAAAATCAAACCCAACCTCAATCTCAAAACCAACAAGCTCCATACCGCCATCCCAACCAAAGGGATCAAAACCACCAAATATCACAATATAACCAACCCGCTCCTCCTTCTCCACCTCCTCAAAAGACTAGCCTTGAGTCCGTTCTTGAAACTTTCATGACTCAACAAATAAGGAACAATGCGGAGATGAATGCAAACATCCAACAACTCCAAGCACATAATAAGATAATGGAGAGCCAATTAGCTCAAATTGCACAACAAGTTGGAAGTTCATCCTCCAATCCTAGTGGTCACTTTCCAAGCTCAACGGTAGTGAACCCAAAGGAGCAAGCTAAGGCTATCACTTTGAGATCGGGAAGGGGTTATGAGGGCCCGGTTATGAGTGAAGAGGAGCCACAAAAGAGAGATGAGGGAGTTGTGGTGAGAAGTGAGGATGATTTTGAAAATGAAGTAGTTGAAGTTTAGAGAAAAGAGCAAAAGAGTGATGAGGGAGCCACAAAGAAAGACGAGGGAGATGAAGAAAGAATAGAAAAGCCCCCTATGAGAGTATATAAGCCCCCCATTCCGTTTCCTCATATAATTGTAGAGAAGAAGTTGAATGAGAAGTTTTCAAAATTTCTTGAAGTCATGAGAGGACTTCAAGTGAACATCCCATTTCTTCATGCTATGTCACAAATGCCTACCTATGCAAAATTTTTGAAGGATCTTCTATCCAACAAGAGTAGGCTTGAAGAGAGTGCAACCATCTCCCTTCCTAAGGAGGTGAGTGCAATCATTCAAAACAAGCTTCCTCAAAAGCTTGGTGACCCCGGTAGCTATGCAATACCGGTGAAGATTGGAGATTTGGAAGCTATGGATGCTTTATGTGATCTTGGGGCAAGTGTGAGCTTGATGCCCTATTCTATTGCAAAGACCTTGAAAGTTGGAGACTTGAAACCAACAAGAATGTCCTTACAACTAGCCGACCGCACGGTTAGGCTACCTTTGGGGATTCTTGAAGATGTGCCGGTTCAAGTTGGAAGAGTATTTGTGCCATGTGATTTTGTAGTAATGGAGATGGAAGAAGATTCAAGAGTACCCCTCATTTTGGGGAGACCATTTTTGAACACCGCGGGAGTGGTGATTGATATGAAGGAAGGAAGATTGACTTTGAATGTGGGAGATGAGAAAATTTCATTTTCATTCTCACAAACTTTGAAAAAGCCATTGATTGATGAAGTTCATAGAATTGACACATTGGAGAAGGACTTAGAAGAGTTCCGAGAAAGATTGTATGAAAGAGATCCTTTACAAGCTACCTTAACGGGAAGCTTAGTTGAGGAGGGTGAAGAAGCAAAGGGGTATGATCTCTTGCTCAACCAACCTTTGGCCCACAAGGTGATAAAATTTGAAGTGCTTAACGTGGAGGCAAAAGAGGAGAGGACTACGCCTCCTCCTAAGGTTGAACTTAAACCCCTTCCCCCTCTACTTAAATATGCGTTTCTTGATGATAGTGAGAATTATCCCGTTATTGTCAATGCTAAGCTCGATGACACCTCTCTTGAGAAACTCCTAGTTGTTTTAAGGAAGTATAGAGATGTCATTGGGTACAAAATTGATGACATTAAGGGGATAAGTCCCACCATATGCATGCATAAAATTCTACTTGATGATGATCATGCTTCCTCGATTGAGCACCAAAGAAGGCTCAATCCCAATATGAAGGAAGTGGTAAAAAAAGAAGTTTTAAAACTTCTTGAGGCGGGCATAATCTATCCTATCTCCGATAGTAAGTGGGTTAGCCCGGTTCAAGTTGTGCCTAAAAAGGGAGGCATGACCATCATAAAAAATGATAAGGGTGAGACCATTTCTACGAGGTCGGTCACCGGGTGGAGGATGTGCATTGATTATCGAAAATTGAATAAATCCACCCGGAAAGACCACTTCCCACTCCCCTTCATTAATCAAATATTGGAAACACTAGCATCACATAGTCATTATTGCTTCTTGGATGGATACTCGGGATTCTTTCAAATACCAATCCAACCCAAGGACCAAGAAAAGACTACATTCACATGTCCTTTTGGCACCTTTGCATATCGAAGAATGTCATTTGGGCTTTGTAATGCACCTTCCACATTTCAAAGGTGTATGATGTCTATTTTTTCCGACATGCTTGAATCATCAATTGAGGTATTCATGGATGAATTTTCTGTTTTTGGTTCATCTTTTGACACTTGTCTTTCAAATTTGATTAAAGTGTTAAAAAGATGTCAAGAGGTGAACTTAGTTTTGAATTGGGAGAAATGTCATTTCATGGTAGAGGAGGGAATTGTTCTTGGTCATGTGATTTCTAGTAGGGGCATTGAGGTAGATCGTGCCAAGATTGAAGTAATTGAGCGCCTCCCACCCCCTACAAATGTGAAGGGGATAAGGAGTTTTCTTGGACATGCGGGTTTTTACCGCCGGTTCATAAAGGATTTTTCAAAAATCGCAAAGCCGCTCACTCAATTGTTGGTAAAAGATGCCCCTTTTGTGTTTACTAATGATTGTTTGCTAGCATTTGATAGGTTGAAGGAGGCCTTGATTTCGGCTCCTATCATTCAACCCCCTAATTGGGAGCTTCCTTTCGAGCTTATGTGTGATGCTTCGGATTTCGCTGTTGGGTCCGTTCTTGGACAAAGGAAGGACAAGAAGCTCCATGCTATCTATTATACTAGAAAAACATTGGATGAGGCACAAAGGAATTACACAACCACGGAAAAGGAGTTTCTAGCCATTGTTCATGCAATTGAGAAGTTTAGGTCCTACTTGTTGGGCTCTAAGGTCATAGTCTTCACCGACCATGCGGCCTTGAAGTACCTCTTGTCTAAGAAGGAACCTAAGCCAAGATTGATACGGTGGGTCTTGCTCTTGCAAGATTATGATATTGAGATTAGAGACAAGAAGGGTGCCGAAAATGTTGTGGCCGATCATCTTTCACGGTTGCCTATCTTTGTAGGTGATCTTGATAACTTGCCAATTGATGATTCATTTCCGGATGATCGACTATTTGCTATCCTTCAAGTACCGGCACCATGGTTTGCGGACATTGCAAACTACTTGTCTTGCTCTATTCTTCCTCCCGACCTCACCTATCAACAAAAAAGGAAGTTTCTTCATGATGTTCGCCAATACTTTTGGGACGACCCCTTGCTCTTCAAACAAGGTGTTGATGGCCTTTTTAGAAGGTGTGTCCCGGATGATGAAATTGAAAGTGTTATCACAATGTGTCACTCATCACCTTGTGGAGGACATATGAGTGCTAACAAAACTTTGGCAAAGATCTTACAATGTGGTTTCTATTGGCCTTCCATGTTCAAAGATGTGTGGGGTGTAGTGAAAGCTTGTGACCGATGTCAAAGAACCGGCAATATCTCAAGAAGAAGTGAAATGCCATTGAACAACATTCTTGAGTTGGAGATTTTTGATGTATGGGGCCTTTCCCAACCTCTTTTGGTAATAAATTCATTCTTGTGGCCGTCGATTACGTGTCAAAATGGGTAGAAGCGGTTGCATCTCCTACTAATGATGCTAAGGTGGTGGTCAAACTCTTCAAGAAGGTCATTTTTCCGAGGTTTGGGGTGCCACGTGCCGTCATTAGTGATGGAGGTTTGCATTTTGCAAAGCGGTCCTTCCAAGCTCTTCTTGAGAAGTACGGTGTGAGGCACAAGGTGTCATTGGCTTACCACCCTCAAACAAGTGGTCAAGCCGAAATTTCAAACCGGGAGATAAAGATGATCTTAGAGAAGACGGTGGATAGGTCTAGAAAGGATTGGTCTATGAAGCTAGATGATGCTCTATGGGCCTACCGCACCGCATTCAAGACTCCCATTGGCACCACCCCTTACAAGCTAGTATATGGGAAATCATGCCATTTACCGGTAGAACTTGAGCATCGTGCTCATTGGGCTATTAAAACGTTGAACTTTGACCTTCAAAGTGCCGGTGAAAAGAGGTTACTTGACCTCCATGCCTTGGAAGATCTAAGATTGGATGCATATGAGAATGCACGGATCTACAAGGAAAAGACCAAGGCTTGGCATGACAAGCATATCAACAAAAGAGAGTTCAAGGAAGGTGACAAGGTCCTACTATTCAATTCCCGGTTGAAGTTGTTTCCGGGTAAGCTAAAATCAAGATGGAGTGGACCTTTTACCGTCAAGAAGGTGTTCCCATATGGTGCAATCGAAATTTCCAAAGAGAATGGTGAACCGTTCAAAGTAAATGGCCAAAGGCTAAAAGCGTACTTTGACGGTTTTGTGAATGAAGAGGCAAAAGTTGTTCACCTTGATGAGTTCGATATTCCTCACTAACATTTGATCCCGCAATGTTGTCAAGCTAGTGACGTTAAAGAAGCGCTTCCGGGAGGCAACCCGAGTTCCTCACTCCCCCTCAATTATTATTATTTCATTTGTTTTATTTTTATTTTTATTAACCCTTTTTCTTTTATTTATATATATATATATATATATCTTTTTGTAGGTATCTATATATATAAAAAAAAAGGGGAAAGAAGAAGAAATCGTGCACCATCAGATATGCACGGACGTGCAGAACATCGCACGTCCGTGCAGACGAAGGCAGAACTTGACTGGTGAAATCTGAAGCTTCGCACGTCCGTGCCAAAAATAAACACGTCCGTGCCAAAAATCAGCACGTCCGTGCCAACCACTGCACGTCCGTGCACTCGAGGACAGAACAGATTGCCATTCTGCCAGGAATCTGCACGTCCGTGCCAAAACCTGCACGTCCGTGCAGATTCAATTTGAACAGCAATATGCCGATTTTTCTATAAAAAAAAATAAAAAAAAATAAAAAAAAAATAAAACTTACACCAGCCCCACCCCACAATTCTCACTCCTCTTTCATACTCAAACTCTACTTCCTCCTCCATACTCCATACTACTACTATTTCTCCATACCTTATTCTCACCCATCAAACTCCATTTTTCACTTAAATCCCAACTCTAAACTACAAATTTCACTCCTCTTTCAACATTCTTCACAAATTACTACCCCTTTTCACCATCAAAACCCCAAAGTACCAAAATTTTCTCAAACCCTAACTTTCAAAATTGATTTGGGGGTTTCTTGAATTTTGATTCTTTAAGCAAATTGGGTGAACAAGGGCCATCAATCAACAACAAGGAGTACTAGAAAGGTTCATTTGCGGGTTCTACACCCACGACATTCTTGGTATAATCTTTCCAATCTCAAGCTCTTCCTTTATAGTTTAAATGCTTGTTGGTTGATATTATGAGTAGTAATAGTTGAAATTGTTGACATTTTGTTAAGTAATTGTGATTGTTGTTAGTTTAGTAGTATAAAAGAAAAAAAAATTTGGTGAATTGTGAGCATTGAAATTTTGGTTGGTGATAGGTTTGTGTGAGTATAGATGCTTTTGGTGTTGGATTGTTGAATTGTTGTTGGTAAATTGTGCACAT